TATGTATGTATGTATGTGTATGTTTGCATGTATTTGCGTAGGTATGTACATAGGTTTGTTGGTTGCTTGTTTGCTTGATGGTTTGTGTGACTGTATGTGTTCATAGTTGTATGCTTGCAACAGCTTGTAACAGGTTGTTCGTATGTATCTATGTATTTATGTATGTCTGTGTGTATGTGCATGTGTACATACTACGGAAGTACATAGGTGCATCATGTATGTATGGGTAGGAGGTGGGTACAGTAGTGAGGTATGTATGTACGTATGTATGTATGCATGTTTGCATGCATCACATGGCATATGCTATAGTTGTATCTCAGTTCGTGTTTTGAATACCTCTATCTATCCTCTATGTTAATTCTATCCCTGTCCCTATCTCAATCTCTATCTCTGTGCCTCTCCATTCTGCTACATCTCTCTCTCTCTCTCTCTCTTTCTATCTTTCCATCTACCTATCTGCCTGTCTCTTTATCTATCTACCTAGCTATCTATCTGTCTATCTGTCTATCTGCCTGTCTGTCTGTCTGTCTGTCTGCCTATCTATCGGTCTATCTATCTACCTATGTATCTATCTATCTACTGATCTAGTTATCTATCTATCTATCTATTTATTTGTCTATCTATCTATCTTTCTGTCTGTCTATCTATCTGTCTATCTATCTATCTATCTATCTATCTCTATTTATCTATCTCTCTATCTACCTACCTATCTCTCTTCCTCTCTGTCTGTCTCTCTCTCTCTCTCTCTCTCTCTCTCTCGCTAGCTGTCGATCTATCTACCTATCTGTCTAGAGAGCAGAACGATACAAACAGCACGAACACTGGACGAGAAGACGAAGAAGCAGGGCAGAAGAAGAAGAATAAGACGAAGACGAAGAAGAAGAAGAAGAGGGGGCTCGGGCGTGCGACATATTTGTGACTGCTGAAAATCTTGGCCCTTGCTTTGACGATAACGGAGATCCCTGATTATTAATCCCCTCCTTGAGTACGGGCCTGGAGATTAGGATCCGCATTACAGGCTTCAAGCATTAAACTATTGCGTGTTTCTTCCTTTCCGCTTTGTGCCCAGACCGGTCACGAGTCGGATTGGGCGGTTGTAGCTCCAAGTAGTCGGTGGTTTAATGGTGTCGCAAGGTAGCGGCCAAGTTGAAGAGCGGTATTAGACACCGTTATGCAAACTCCATAATGGTGCTCGGAAAGTATCACATACGCAACCTTACTGTGAGATACTCACTTTTTCGATGGTTTATACGATGTTGCTGAATTTTGGAATCCGAGCTTATCTCTGCACAGTCGCGATGGTCATGATGCACCTAAACCCTAAACCCTAAATCCCAAACCCTAAATCCTAAACCCTAAACCCTAAATCCTAAACCCTAAATCCTAAACCCTAAACCCTACCAGCTTGGATCGTGTCCCGAGGCCTTCGGCGTCTGCGTCGTCCCAGAACGACCTGCGCTTACAAGGCATCTTTGCAGAGGCCGGTCGTACTAATGTAGGGGCCTTAATAANNTTTGGGGGGGGGGTCCTTATTATAATTATAGTAGAATGGGCCCCAAAACCCTATCCTAATTATTAAGGCCCCTACATTATGTGGGTTTGAGTATAACAGCCACTGAGCTACCTGTCCCGGTGGTTTATAGCCCGATGATCCGGGGGTTATTATTCTAGTGTCAGTTTAAAACTT